TTCGAAAGCTGTCACGCAGTTTTCAATTGAAATCGATGCCAACACATCGTGCTACGACATCGCTTTACTTCCGCAATGTAATTTTTATGATCACTACCATTCGGAAAAACGTCTGGTTCTACGGGCATTACCATGCGGCATTTTGATTGGTTAATGGAATTCTTGATCCATCGGGTCAAAGGACACATGCTAATGTTTCACAAACATCATGGCGGGTCTGTTTTTTTTTACCGAAGCGATCAAGTGATCAAAAATAATCGCTCCCGATAAAAATAAGTCGGATTTTACTTACATTTCATATCAAAAAAAAAAAAGAAGTAAAATTTGTTGAGGAATTATTGCTATAACTGGTGTATAACATGGCCAAGTAAGTTATGTAACGTCGTAACTTTGATGATCGTTTTGAAGCTTTATTTGTTCGCTCATTACTGTAATTGTAAACGTTTTAGAAGTTGATGGTACGAATAATAAATTACAACAATACGTCAATTAATTACGTGATCGATTTTTTGAAAGAGAATGTTTTTGGAGTGAATAAAATTATGAGATTCGTGAACATAAATCTGGCTTAACGTTTTGAATGAGTTTCCTTCAACGTTTTACAAAACAATTAAATTGCAACAATAATGTATTTGTGTTTGTTTTTAGTCTGTAGCATTTGTATTTCGAGAATGTTTCAAACTCTTCTAAATTGTGAAACATAATGTGTTGATTCCATTAAAAAAAATATTTGCCCTGTGACTGAGCTCACTAATATTCATAATTGTAAATAAGTTCTGTTAATCAATGAAGGAAAGATATGTAAATGATATGCAAATTATTATGCAAATTAGCCCCGGCGCTATGCATTTTTTCTGGGGAGAACCCTGATATCAGTGTGAAAGCTTAAAATTGGTTAATTATGCAAATTAGGTGATTAATATGCACAAATATTTACCGGAAACTAATTGGGTCTGCATAATTCTAGATTCATTGAAATGTGATGATTAGTACTTTAGATATTAGTAGAAAAGCTGAAAAATAATTATGCAAATTAGGTAATTAATATGCACAATTAATTACCCTAAAACTAATCAGGTCTCTGCATAGTCCTAAAGGATCTATGTACCAAGTTTCATTGAAATGCGATGATTAGTACTTGAGATACCCGTGGAAAAGCTGAAAATTAAATAATTATGCAAATTAGGTGATTAATATGCACAAATATTTATCGGAAACGATCAATCTCTGCATAGTCCTTGAGTATGTAAGTACCAAGTTTCATTGAAATGTAATGCTCACTACTTATATCAAATGCTGAAAATTAATTAATTATGCAAATTAGGTAATTAATATGTACTGATATTACCATAAAAACTATCAGGTCTGTGCAGTGTCATATGACATCCATGTACCAAGTTTCATTGAAATGTGATGATTAGTACTTGAGATATCAGTGGAAAAACCAAAAATTGACTAATCATTATGCAAATTAGGTAATTAGTATCCACGGATTATTACCAAAAACTAATCAAAACCTAGCATTAGTTCAGAGCATCTATGTACCAAGTTTCATCAAAATCCAATGAGTGGTTCTTTAGATATCAGTGGAACAGTCATAGAACAGCTAAAAATTAGCTAATTATCATGCAAATTAGGTAATTAACAAGCATGGATTTTTACCAAAACCTAATCAAATCTGCGCATTGGCCCAGAGCATCTATGCGCCAAGTTTCATCAAAAACCAATGTATGGTTCTTGAGATAGCAGTGGAACAGTCGGACACACATACACACACACACACACACACACACACAATAACTGCAAAGACTCCCATTATGTGCTTGGCACATGGGAGTCAAAAACTCTCTTAAAAAAAAGAAGAAATGGACACAAAAAAATGCAGACTGAAAAATGTGTTATAAAAGTACGGCTCATGGCTTCCTCTCGTAGTTTGGCATTTAGTGGCACACTTTCGACGAGAGTCGGAAATCTGGAAACAGTTGACAGTTTCAGGATAGGTGGGCATGGCTACAGCACGAGAAATATCTCAAATTTACTTGGATACAAGTAATCATTTTCAGCAAAAAAATCAATAACTGCTCATTTTCAGTGGGACACAGATCTAAAATTGGAAACATGTGGGTGGGCATTTCACAGGCACTTTAATTGAAATGTGCATTGCTAACAGCAGAGTTATCTCTGCCAAGATGCTGCTTGTTTTTTCTAAAACAACAATGATTGCATATATTCACACAGAAGGCTATGTAGAGTTTAACTTTGATTCCCATTGTTTTGGCTATCCATGTTGGAGGCGTTCTCTGTATGTCGCCAACGTTCTGTAAATATTGAACTAATCATCATACAATAGCAACAAAATCTTTTTTATTTCTATGAATAACGATTCATTTTTCAGAATGTATGAATGTAATTGAAAAATGTTAGCAGTGAAACTATTAATAAAGAAATGTCGATCTCTAGATGAAAATAAACTGAATGTGTTGAAACTTTTCTCACAAACTGTTAATTTTATTCTGTTTTATATTTTGCAGTACGTCAATAATTCGTGATCGTGAAAAAGGTGAATGTGATTGACTGTTGTGGAAAGCTCACTTGTTAGGATAGTCAACGTCTCAATACTCCAGGGGTTTATGGTGTGGTTGCCATGGCAGCCCGAAGTACTGTACTAGTAGGTGTAACAACTGGTGCTGCTGCTTGTCTAGTTGGCGCTTATTGGTATCTGCGTAAAAAAACTGTCAATGCTGTGGTGACTGCTAAAACACCTAAAGGTCTATTTGACGTTTCTTCTATTTGTGACGATGTTAATGTTGATACACAGAAGAGAAGTTTGCAGTGGAGTGTGGAAGCTGCTCTAGGGAACCAAGATGCAGAGGTTCTGAAAGATGATTCAGAATTGATAGAATATTCGGCAAAGGACAAAGAACCGCTTTTGGAATTTGATGGAAATGTGGATTTTGATGAGAATACATTGCAACAATGTACACAAACTGTTCAGTCACAGACTGAAGCATTGGAACAAACTGAAACAGAAGAAAATTCACTGATACCGTCTGAAAATGTAGAAGGGGAAAAAAGTGAGAGTTTGGTTGTGACTGATCAACTGTTGCACAAATCACAGGATAGTGTGGAAAATGTTTTGGAGTTTGATTCCATAACTGTTCACCGCAACAAATTGGAAAACAGGGAAAATATGAAAGGGGTAGAATCTGATGAATGTGAGGTAGTACCTCAGAGGGAAATGATGCAAGATTTTGAGGAGACTACTACTCAGCATGAAAACCAGCCACAGGGTATGCAAGATGTTGAGGAGACTACTACTCGTCATGAAAACCAGCCACAGGGTATGCAAGATGTTGCAGAAAGCTGGGATGAGTGTGCAGATGTAACGGTGTCAGATGAAACGTTGGAATGTAAAAGTGTTGAATGTGAGTTGGCTAACAATCAGGATAATGATATCAATGATTCTTCAGTTCCAGTCACTTGTCTACCGGAGTGTGTGGACACTGCAAGTTACTTGCCAACTGAGGAAGTGGAACAAAAACAGCAGTCTACTCGGGTAGACTCATTAGAACCAGTTGAAAATGAAGACGCCATGGTAACAGAGACCGTTAAAGAATGGGGTGATTCTGTGTCTGAAGAAGAACAGTCGGAAGAGGCTACAAAAGTTGAGTATGAAGATAACACAGTAGTAGAATTGAAGGAAAGCAGTTCTGAATGGGGGTTAATTATGCAAGATCAAACTGAGCCTGTGACGGAAATGGTGGTTGAAGATGATAGCATTGAGGTGATAGAACAGGTAAAGCCGTAATATATATAAAATAGCAGGTTTTATGGATATTTTTTGGAAAGACCTTTTGTACAACTATTATTACATATCTCTCAGTATTCACTCATTCGTGTCCAGGATAGAATACTGTTAACCACATTTCGATGATTTGGTGTTTTTATATGGCTTCCCTGAAAACAAAATTTTGTGAATGTGTCGTAGGACCCCAAGAAACTTGCCATGCTGTGTTCGATATTGGTTGATATATAAAATACATCAACTTCACCTTGTGTTTTAAAGGATATTTATGAGTATACGGTCGCAGAAACTTTGTGTTCTACCGTAAAATCTGTATTAGAAGCCGCATCCCTACTAGAAGCCGCACCCATTCTTTTTGAACAATTGAGACCCAAAAATTCACCATTTCTCATATGTGTAGATGCTCTAATAGAAGCCGCATCCCCTCTGTTGCATTGTACCATTTTAATAGAAGCCGCGGCTTTTAATACAGATTTTACAGTACTAGCTTTATCATTAATTTCACAGAGTATATTACATAATAGGGGACTAAGAGAAAATTGTTTGGTTTACAGAAAGGTTCAGTTATCAGTGAATGCTTTACCCAAAATGAAAGTTCAGTTCTGATCTGATTAAATATGGAACTATGTACAAATTAAGAAATGCAATTAATTCCAGGAACCTGAATTTAATCAGTCTCTGTCACCGGAATATCTGCCTGAAGAGATGGGGTATTACCAGGATATGGAGCATGGCATGATGGGAAATGGATCTTCGCTCCTATACGATTCTGTGCAATATGATCCTGTAATTTATACTGATACATCACCACAGATGTACTATAATAATAATACCTGCAATGTACAATATGGTGAAGATATGAATACTTCTCCAATAGTCAATGGGTAAATACATGTATGACTCATATCTCTCTCTCTCTCTCACTCGCTTTCTGTCGTGTCAATGTTTAACTACATGACAGGGCTATCTTTTCGCAGTCTGTAAAATAGGTACTTGTGGATTTACCCATGTTAGGTGTCCAACCATTTGTCTACACCTGTGTCTTCTTTATGCCTGCACTGATGGTCAAACTTGTACATCTTGTCGAAATTCTGTTGAAGATGGCTGGACGGTGGCCATTTAGATGCTTAAAAATGCATCAAAATGCATCAAAATAAAACATTTGTCATTCCTGAACAAGATCTTAGGTCTGTGTATTGAGATTTTGTTTCAATTTTGTACATACCCTGAATATCATGGGACCTTAAGGTAGAGATGCAGTTTATTTGGCTTGCTTTTTAATTGAGTAATTAGACAATGAAGATGGTATTATATATCCAACATGTTATATATTTTCTGAAAGCTTATTATACAAACTTTGTAAAACTTGTCTTTATTTTAAATATCCAGAATGCGTTTCTGATTTTGGGTCAAAAATATGCTTTTTTGGACAAAAGTGGTTTAAAAAAAATTAGCTTAAAAACTTCAAGTCCATTTGTGGATAAAATTACATCACTGGATACCTT